GAGGGTGAAATATTTAAAAAAGAGTATTCAAAAATTTACCAGGGTCTGTGGTGTAGCGGTAAGGCGTTTCGACGTCGGGCGTAGAAGACCCAGATTCGATTCCCCTTTACTGAGTATCTCGGTTTCTCTATTGGGGTGTTGTATCCCTCTCAGCCCGGATCGGCCTTGTACTGTACGGCAAGGGCCAAGCCTGCCTCCTAAATCTATAAAGGGGCAGCCGTTTGAGTTACATATCTTTTTGTTTGTTTGTTAATGTGATTTTCGTTTTGTTTGTTATGTCTGTTTTTAGGGGGTGATTTTTTTGTGTTGGTTTTTGTTTGTTTGTTTGTTGGTTTGGAGGGGGTTTTTTGTTTAGGGGGGTGGGGGGTGGCTCGCTTTTTGTTTATTTAGCTGATTTATATTTTTCGCCAAGTGGGACTGTTGAAAGGGAGGGGGGTGAAAAGGGGAAGGAATATCGAAAGAATGAGAATAATATAAAGATGATGTTTACAAATAAAAGAAACAGAAAAAATAAACCCCAAAACCTCGACGCTATTTAATGTGCGAACATGAATGAATTATTAACAACTCTGCTTGGCGCTCATATGACCTTATGCAGTTGCAAGTACTGTAAAACCTCTACTAAAACTAAACTAATAACTCTGCTTCTCTATCCCCCACCCCCACCCCCAGCCCCCTTAGGTATGTGTGAAATTAATGAATAAGTATTAATAACTCTGCTTCTCTATCCCCCACCTCCACCCCCAGTCCCCTTAGGTATGTGTGAAATTAATGAATAAGTATTAATAACTCGCTTCTCTATCCCCCACCCCCACCCCAGCCCCCAGCCCCCTTAGGTATGTGTGAAATTAATGAATAAGTATTAATAACTCTGCTTCTCTATCCTCTTCCTAGCCCCCCAAAGTATGTGAGAACGGGCGCGCCTACGTCACCGACCCGGCCACCGGTCAGTCTCTGTGCCTGTGTCAGTTGAGCGGGGGCCACCCGTCCCCTCACGCCCTACAACAAGGCCACCCGGCTTTCAGGGGCGTCGCATCTCTCCCCTCCTCGCCGCGCCCCGGCTTCCCGGACCTGCGCACTTATCACAGTCAGGTGAGTGAGGTTTGAGATGATGGTGATGGTGGTGGTGGTGGTGGTGGTTGTGGTGGTGGTGGTGATGGTGAGTGAGGTTAGAGATGGTGGTGGTGGTGGTGGTGGTGATGGTGAGGGAGGTTAGAGATGATGGTGGTGGTGGTGGTGATGGTGAGTGAGGTTAGAGATGATGGTGGTGGTGGTGGTGGTGGTGG